GTGTATTTTCTTTGTTTTTTATTGTATATAGTTATTTTTTAATAAAATGAACAATTTTTTTGAATTGAAAAATTGAAATTGAAATTGATTTGTTTGGTCAAAAGCCTGGCTCTGAATAAAGTTTGTGATCATGACTAAAGATCAGCTGGCCCTGCACAAAACTTTATGTTCTGCTGGTTCCTTACACAATCATGACCACCTGCTCTGTACTCATTCTGTTAGTGGTCAAACCAACRGCTGTATAAATGCTTTGGCTGGTTGTATAGGACCAAATTCCTCTGAATAGGCTCTGACAGAATAACATGAAAACCTATAGCAAACAGGTCTGAGACTCCTATTGGATAATTACTGCATGGGTGATTATCTTTCAGCTGGCAACATGTCATTTAACCCTAATTGGTGCAATGAGTTGTTTCTCCCACACTCCTTTCCAGTTGGTGGTGGTAATGCACACCTAAAGTTTTTTGCAAACCGCCAATAAAACCTATATAGAAGAAGAAGAAGAAGAAGAAAAAGAAGAAGAAGAAGAAACGTTGTTTCTCACTTCTTAAACAACCATGTTTAAAGACACATCCCGTGGTCGTGGAAAAGGTGTCAGTCTGTGTGAGAAGGGTCAAATCAGTTGCATCAAGCATCTAAGAAGATTGCAGAAACTACTAAAATTGGGTTAAGAACTGTCTAATGCATTATTAAAAAACTGGAAAGATGTTTAATAGTGAAAATAAGAGCATTTCCTCACACAATGTTAAGAGAACTCAAGGGATTGGGACTGAACAGTTGTGTAGCCTTAAGAAAACCATTATTCAGTGAGGCTAACCAGAACAAAAGGCTTCAGTTTGCTAGGGAGCGTAAAGATTGGACTCTGGAGCAATGGAAGAAGGTCATGTGGTCTGATGAGTCTAGACTGACCCTGTTCCACAGTGATGGGGGCATCAGGGTAAGAAGAGAGGCCATCATGCCTTGTGTCTACTGTACAGCCTGTGGGGGCAGGTCTATGATGTGGGGTCTCTGCAGTTGGTCAGGTCTAGGAAGCTTATGGAAAAATGTCACAGTGAATGTGTGCTGTAATCAAAGCTAAAGGTATTCCAACAAAATGTTACATTGTGTGACCTTTTTTTGGTGGCAATCTTTTTTTATGTCCAGGCGGTGTATTTGGTGATCAAAGTAAACCCAGCACAGATCCATACCTTGATGGAAATGAAATAACATCATGCATCTAAAACCTTTCACTGTTTCTAATAATCTGCAAATAAAGGGCAAAAACAGGTCTCTGAAAAGAAATAAYTTACTCATGTTTAAATCTAATTTTTCTTATTAAATATGGTTAGAAGACATTTGCATCAGTTTGTGTAGTTTACAGATCATTCACCTCTACAAGTCTTTACCTGTTGGAGTTGCACAATTTAAGATAAAAATCAAAACAAACAGAATAAAGCATAAAAAATAACTCAAACTCAATCAGTTTACAAATATTGAGTTAAAATTGGATTTGGCAGTAGCAGAGAATCATTCACATCACATCTWCTCACAAAATGTCCTTACATTTCTGAAAATATCAACTTTAACCTCTTAAGCTCCAAGGGGTTTTCTTGATGCTTTCAAGTAAAAAAAAAAATTGAACACACTTTACAACCTATTTTGGTTTCTACTTTGACTTGCTTAAAAATGTCTAAAATCTTTCTTTTATAGATATGCAGTCTGTACAGTTTGGTTACTTTCTCATTCAACTGATTAATGTTTGAACTGTGTTTGGTGGATGTAAAATTAGTTTCCATGAGCTTTAAAGATTTTTAGGTTTCTGTTGATTCCAAACATATACAGGTTCAACTGACAGATCTTAAGTTAATAAAAGTTAAAAGAAATAATAAAAAACGGGAAAAGCTGTTTCCCCCCCCTGGGGCTCAGCCTTTTATTGATGTCTCTGTTTTGATCCTCATCAGTGACTTAGACTGTTCAATGAAAAGGTTTTCTGACCAGGTYGTCCAGTTAAAGTACTCAACTCCCACAGGCTGGTCCAGGTAAAGGACTGGACCGTCACAGACCGGTCCCGTAAAAGGACCAGGGATGTTTAGGAGGATATGCCTTTGATCTTGTGGGTCTCTGATACAAGTAGAGAGCATCATCAATGGGACTTGATGCCGGTTTTATCTCCCTTTRCACTCCTCCCCCATTTTTTAAATTCCAGTAGTGGCACCAGTCAGTCCCCTGGTGAGTGGCAGGAACAGGAAGTATTCGGCAGCAGCTTCCTGTCTGCTCCTGGGATGGTTCTGAATCATGTGTGGTTACAGACAGCTAACCYTCACCTGGGTCCCTCTGTCTCTTACTCWTCTCCAAAAATAGATAAAGGAATGCAGGAATGTTGRTGCTCTTTGTTTTCATCCGTTGTGACAGAAAACACAACATGGTTGGTGTGAAGTTGTTCTTTATAGCCCCACACCATACAGAACCACATTGGTGTGTGTGTGTGTGTGTGTGTGTGTGTGTGTGCATGCAGTGTAACTCATCTGTGCTCACCTTATATCTGGGAACTCTTTGACGAGGACCGCCACCTCCATCTGGATGGAGGGTGTGTCCTCCAGCAGGATGATGTCAGCGATGTGGCTGATGATGCTGTCCAACCAGGAGGCGCTTGATTCCTGAAACAGGATGGACGTTTACACATGAAATAAAAGAAGTATTGTTGTACACATTATGAGACAAAAAGTGACTGGTTGTCTGCTGTGTTAGTGAAATAGTATTTCATAGTCAGATTTGAATTAAACTAAATATTGGTTGTAGATTTACAACAGAGTAACTTTAGGATTTAACCTCTAAGATGGCCACAACAGCTGAGCAGCATCAACAACACAATATTCAGTMGGGGAAAAGGTATTTAGTCAGCCACCAATTGTTCAAGTTCTCGCTCTTAAAAAGATGAGGTCTGTAACTGACATCATAGTAACAGCACCTGTTTGAACTTATCGGTATAAAAACACCTGTTCACAACCTCAAACAGTCACACTCCAAACCCCATTATGGTGAAGACGAAAGAGCTGTCGGAGGACACCAGAAACCAACTGTAGACCTGCACCAGGCTGGGAAGACTGAATCTGCAATAGGCAAGCAGCTTGGTGTGAAGAAATCTACTGTGGGAGCGATAATCAGAAAATGGAAGACATACAAGACCACTGATAATCTCCCCCCATCAGGGGCTTCACGCAAGACCTCACCCTGTGGAGTCAAAATGATCACAAGAACAGTGAGCAAAAATCCCAGAACCACACAGGGGGACCTGGTGAATGACCTGCAGAAGGCTGGAACTAACGTAACAAAGGCTACTGTCAGTAACACACCACACCACCAAGGACTCAGATCCTGCAGTGCCAGATGTGTCCTCCTGCTTAAACCAGTACATATCCAGGCCCGTCTGAAGTTTGCTAGAGAGCTTTTGGATTTTTCCAGAAGAGTATTGGGAGAATGTCATATGGTCAGATGAAACCAAAGTAGAACTGTTTGGTAGAAACACAACTCGTGTTTGGAGGAAAGTGAATGCTGAGTTGCATCAAAATAACACCTACTATGAAGCATGGGGGTGGCAACATCATGCTGTGGGACTGTTTCTCTGCAAAGGGACCAAGATGACTGATCTATGTACATAAAAGAATGAAATTGGCCATGTATCGTGAGATTTTGAGTGCAAACCTCCTTCCATCAGCAAAACATCACTGTTCTAGAGGAGATCTGCATGGAGGAATGGGCCAACATATCAGCAACAGTGTGAACCAACCTTGTGAAGACTAATGCTGCGTTCACACCGAACACGATTTCAGCTTCAAAATCACAGCCAACGCTTCAAGTTTGAAGCTTGTGCACTTTGAGGTCAGACGCAGGTCAGCTGTTGAAGCGCTGCACGGCAACAGCCTCCCCACCCCTCCCTCCTCTGTCGGGCTCTGTTTAATGTCGGACGAGGAAGTCGCTTTGCTTTATTTACAGA